TCAACATATCTTCTGGTGAGAATTTATTACTTTTCTCTATATTACCAGCCAGGAACATTTCTTTCAATTTTTCAATTGCATTTAAATTTAGTCTTTTACCACCTTTTTTTCCAAACTTTTGTTTACTCCTTAGGGCAAATCCAGATATTAAATTTTTATGCAATAAATTTTTTAAGTCATCATTTGAAATAATGTAATATTTATTGGCTCAAAATTAGTAAATTGATCCAATCTCTGTTTTATGACTGATTTACCTCCAGAGGAATTCAAAATTTTTTCTTGAAGTTTGGATCTTACTTCAGAGGCTGTTAATGTTTGAATATATGAATTAATTGTGAAGATATATTCATTTCCATTCTAACTGAGCACTTGTTTGGTCAATGGCTATTGAGTTAGGTTGATTTATATATATCATTGTTTTTGAGAAGTTTTTTATATCAGAAACTGAATATATTTTTGATTTTCCATAATTTGGTATTTCATAAGCTTCTATAATTCCTTCATTCTCACCAGTTGGCCACATAAAGGTGAAATGATTAGAAATTACTGGAATGGTACCAACCAGTGTTGTTATGCAATGGAATTCGGAATCTGGAATTATGTGTTCCATTGTTCCAGTGTTCTGGTGCTCCAGTCTTTTTCACTGGAATTTAAAGGAATTCAGCCAATGGAATTTTTTATTTTTATTCACAAAATTTGTAAAGAAAAAATTTAAAATTTTTAATGGGTAAACAAATTTAAAGAAAGCAATTGTTTCTTCATTTTCTACCCATTGGAATGACTAGCCAATAGAGACTGTCATTCTTAACAATAACATTTCAAATATTTGTTGTTCACTTGGTTGTAAAGGCCTACCAAGATAATGATTTAATGTTGATTGGTTTGTTGTAGAATCATTTCTTACATGTTTAAAAGTAGAAATTTCTGAAAAAATATTATCTTCGACATTAATAATACCAGTATCACCTAATACAATTAATCATATATATATATTAATATGTAAATAAATATATGTATACATATATAAAAAAAATTCTCATCTATTATTCTAGTAATTTTATTAATTAAATTGTTAAATATTTACTAGATCATTTGATCTATTTTGCAATTCTTTTTGTTTGATTATTTCAAGATGATTTTCTACAAATTCAATTTTATCAGAATAGCAAGCTTTAAAATTTTCATGATCTAACAAGTGTTTCCCAATGCTTTTCATTGTGTTTGAAATTTTGAAATTTTTGTTTTAGCATTATTGAATCTTTTTTTGTTGTACATCCTTTACAGATTGCAAGATAATTGTTCTGATTATCTTTATATTTTTATCAGTATAAAAAAATTCATGAATAAGGTTGCTTGCCAAAACTCCTCCAGAAATCAATCAGCAGGGTTTCAGCAGGTTACACATTAATTGTTTATTAGAGTTTTGGCAGAGTTTCATATTTTGAGGTTTCACCATTTTGGCATAGTTTCAACAGGATTTTGCCATGGTTTCAGCAATTATGAAGGAGGTTTTGCCCACAACCTTACTTCCAACTCTTGTAAAAATTTTGGTCCAATAGATAACAGCTCAATGTAATTCTATAACAATAATAAAATATTATAAGCTTTGAATTTTTGAATTATTTGATTTAAATATGATACTTACTTTGCACTGGACTATAATTGTATATCCATTATAGCTGCCAAAGTGATCGATCCCCCATTGCCGGGTTCTTGTCTATTGGGTATAGAAGAACATAAATGAAAATGAGTATTTGTGTCATAGTTATCAAGGATTATAATCCTGATACATGTCAGTCAATAATAATTCATGTATCCTATTCATCACAGGCCCTGATACATATGTCAGTTGGCTTTTCGAAAACAGAGAAGAACATTCATGACAGGCCATCCACTGTACACCAGGTCTGAATACCTGATTAGTAACTTTCACAAGCTGTGGCCACAAGGAGCTTTCAATTCCCTGATTTACTTCTAGTGACAGTGTAACTTCAGATACATAATAACTTAACATATAACTCAATGAAAACTCACCTTTTTTGATGTAATTAAATGTTATCATTTTTAAAAGTAAAGTGATTTCTTTCTCAAGTTGGACTCCTTTCTCATAAAAATTCATCATTTTTTTTATAAATTTATTTAAATTATTGTCACCGGAATGCGAATTGGACCTTAATTCGCTGATCAATAACCCCGAAAATCCGGAGTAATAATTTATATATTATTTTTATATTATTTATATTATTTATTTTATTTATTTATTATTTTTAGTATTCATTATTTATTTTTAGTTATTTAATTTTATTTTACTCTATTTTTATTTTGTAATAATTTCCAAATGATTTAATTTAATTATATGAGTTCGTGTTAGATTCTGCAGAAGTAATTAATTAGTAACACATTCGCATTAGACCTTTATTTAGAAGAGATTAACCTGAATCAAGATATATATCTTAGATTAGGAGAATTATCCTGTGTACAAAGAAGGATAATTATCCTAGAAAGAGAGAATTATCCTAACTTGGGAGAATTATCTTGGATTAGGATAAATATCTTAATCTAGGCCAATTATCCTAAACTAGGATACATATAATCAAACATGTATATAAGGAATGAGAATTCGTTGTAATCGAAGAATAACTTTGTAACAAATTAACTTAATAATAAGTTAATAATTAGTTTCAACTAAATACAAAATTAAATAAATCATTTTTATCAAATCACTAAAACAAAATTATTCGCTAATGAATCTAATTTGTTAGTATTAGCCTATTCATTCTGATCCACATAAATTAATAAAAATCTGTTATCATCAATTAAAACATGCTCTCCCAAAATTAATTGGTGACACAGGGCCTTGTAGATATACATATAAAAGATATTGAAATCCATGAAATAAGCATCTGGAAGGCCTTGTAACTATAAACTGGATAAATTGTCTCGGAAATATCCAGTTTTGTGCCAGAATCAGCCATTTTATACAACAAGCATATTATTATAAACAAAATATTGAGATTTACTGTGAGACACAGATTTTTATCTCAATTATTATTATTATTATTTGTAGTGTTCATAGATGATAAAAATGTTAAAAACAGTATATATAAATGTTGAATACAAAAATACTAATAAAATAATAAATAAATAATACTAAATGATGGTAAGAGGCATGATGGTAGGTCACTTGAATCTGGCTAAATTATAAAGTGGGTTTGCTTTAATTTAAAAATCATCTGGTATAGTTAATTCAATTTGTTTAGAATCTGGTATAGTTAATTCAATTTGTTTAGATTCTATATAATTTAAAATATCATTAATAATAAATAATTAAGATTAAATATTTAACAATAAATTAGATGATTACCATTATTATTACTAATGATTATAACTTTATTGGAGTTTACAGGTTGAGGAAGATTTGTAAAATTCAATAATCTACTCGTATAAACAGCATTTGGATGAACAGTTGCCATGATTGTTGAAGGATTAAAGGGTTTTTTATCTGCTTCCTCAAATATTTTTTTTACTTCTTCTAATTCATCAAGCTGTTCTTCAGTATAACTAGAAATATTAGATTCAAGTGCATCTTTCCAAAAAGTAATAATCTTTAAAATTTCATCTGCTGTTGGTCTTTTTTCAGGATCAGCATCTGTGCATTTGTATGCTAAATTAATATAACATTCTGGAGTATTATCTGAAAAACTAGGTCTTAAGCCACCACAGATCTTGAGAGCAAGATCTATATCATGTGGTTGATCTTTGAATGGCTGTTGATGTGTTGATGTTTCTGACATTAAAATCCCAAAGC